ACAAGGAGCGGGATGCTTGGACTGCCCTGTGTGTAGCGTCTGGGGCTTTGGGCAAATCCCAGTTCGTAGGCAAGTGTAAAATCCTGGCGTTCAACCCCTAGTACTGCTCCCACCCCACAGAAGGAAATTAACAACTAGCCAGTGGGTTACTCAAGTAAAGCCTCTAACCATCCAAGAACACTGATAATGGTGCTTAACTCAGGTGCTAAAACCAGGTGGGACAACCCTAGGGTTGTGCATCACGAACGCTGTGAGGGGCCATGAAGGCAGGATGAGCAGTAGAGCCCGCGTGGCAGGAGACCAGGGAAGCTGGCAGGAGAAGCAGTGGGGCTTCTGGGCTGGGGACATTCTGGGCTGGGGACATTCAACATGGTCTGCATATGGAATCCCGCAGAGCCTGGCGGACTGTGGCCTGTTCCTTTCGTGCCAGTTCAGGTCTGGCGGTTATGTAACGTGTTCAGCATTTGGGACCAGGCTGGAAAGCAAAATATAGGAACTTGGAAGCTATTTTTTGACTCTTTGTAAGGTGTGAAACTGACTTCTAAATGAAAACGGCCTGGGTGGATGGCAGAGGCTCTACTGGGAGATGCCTGATATAGGATCTTGTGGGGAAAACAGCCCATGCATGTGGAGGCTGGCGAGGGTCAGTCTTGAGGACAGATAGCATCAGAGGGACAGCCCCTCCACCCCTCCCTAACCCCCCAGCAAGCATAGACTTGAATCACACTTCCTGGAAATCACGCTCGTGGAGAGCCCAGGTGAGCTAAGCCAGAAGTCAAATCAGAAAATTTTCCACTTAAAACTCCAAACATTTTAAGAAGAAAACAGGAAAATCTCCTTGTGCATCAAATGAAAGGAAAAAACATTTTAAGTATTAGATTAAATACATTTAATATCTTAAATATATTTCCAAACAAAAGCCCCAGCAGTTGTGCGCATGTGCCAATGTAACTTGTCCTCCGGCTTACAGCCAGAGCAGCTCCATCTTGCTCCAAGTACCACTTAGTTATTCTCTGTGCCAATGGCAGCACAACAAACTGTCCTTCCCAGTGTGGGTCAGTGTCCACTGAGGTCAGCAAGGTCCTGGAAAGAGCAGAGATGGAGCGTGCATAAACATGGAATCTTCCCAGGCCTGTGTCTCACGCTGAGCCTGTGGTTATGTTGACCTTAGTTGGAGCTGTAGTCCAGACTTCTGCTATAGACCTAGAGTTCTGCAAACAGGTGGAGGTGGGGTGGTGGCTTCTGGGAATTCAGGACCGGGACACATAAACACAGTCCCCCATAGCCATCAGGTAGCCCCTATTAAAACTCATTTTTACTCATTCAAGCTGGGCTTGTTTAAGACATTCTTTATGCTGTCAGCTTCTTCCCAGATTGGAGGTACTCTGAGGAAATGACAACATATGTGTGTGTGTGTGTGTGTGTGTGTGTGTGTGTGGAAACTGCCACGCACCTGTGTATGTGTGTGTGACATGTATGGGAGTTTGTGTGTGTGTGTGGCATGTCTGTGCATGCTTATATATTTGTGTACATGGTGTGGTGTATGTGTGTGGATGTATGTGTGTGTGCCTGTGTGTATATGTGTGCATGGAGTGGGTGGGAGTGGATGAATGTGTGTGTCTGAATTTGGAGTGTGTGTGCATGTCTGCACGTGTGTGCATGTGTATGTATGTGTGTGTGTAGGAGGAGAAATGCGGTGAAGCTGCACTTCAGGGCTTCAGCAGGTCCCTCCCAGGGCCCCTCTGCATGGTGGGGAACACAGCGCTGTGGACCAGGATGCCTGGGGCCTGTGCTGACTGTGCCTCCTCCTCACCACTTGCTCTGTCACCCCACTGGCTAAGTGACCCCCGTACAGGCAGGCGGTGCCCTCCATGTGGCTTGCAGAGGTGTCCTTCTCAGGGAAGGGGTTTCATGGCCCCTTGGTTTATGTTTCCCTCAATCCCACGAATTCTCCTTTCCAGCTGCTGTAGGTTGATCGACCCTGGAGAATGAGACTTTTTGAGACTTTGTGTCTGAATACATATCTCTCTGATAAGCAGACAACCATGGCTTGCTTAGAGTGGGGAGGGTCCTGCTGGGGGACTGGTTGTGTTTGCCGTCCCTGTGCATGGTCTTACACAGAATCATCACATCCTCCAGCACTGGTGGTCCTGGAGAAACAAGTGGGTGAGAGCCTGTATGGCAAACCACGTTACATGTTGATGTAAGTGTGTGAACGGACCTCCACGTGGGGAAGAGCACGGTCTGCCTGGGAAGGCAGAGGGAGGCCTGCTTTTCATACTGGTTTATTGAATGGCACAGTCCCTCTGTAGTCACAGGAGCCCTGAAGATCCCCGAGTCCACGGATGCTCCTGTGTCCCTCGTCTGAGGTGGTGCCGAGTTTGCACAGAACCTGTGCACACCCTCCTGTGCGCTTTCAACCATCTCTAGATGACCTACCTCACCCAGTGCCATGCTGTGCTGATGCACAGTTGCTGTACTATGTCGCTTAGAGAACAGTGGTAGGAAAACAAGTCTGTGTGGCCCCTGAATATTTTCATTTCACAACGGCTTCTGTTCCCATGGCTTCATTTCCTGTGGGTATGGAGGGCTGGTTGCTCACAGAGAAGCAATATCACAGTCGATCGTTTACTGTCTCAAGGGTGGTGAGCAAAGTCAAGCTGTGGCGAGAGAAACGCTACGGAAACCACGCACGACCATGTGGTTGTCTGGGACAAACCTTCAGTCTTAAGTTTACACATCTAAATCTTGTGGATCGTAATGTCTTGACATTCATTATTGGCACATTCTGAAAACTGGAAACTTTAAAAATTCCTCTTTATGTTAAAGAACAAAACAGACTCAGCTTCAGGGACAGGTCAACATCTTTTCATTCCAAACAAAGGCAAACAGTGAACTGAGCTTTTCTCAGGAACCCCATGGAAGCTGTCTGTCTGATGCTTCCATCATGATTTGCAAACACAATGACCAAGATAAGGAAGAAGCACAGACATGGGGACCCTGAACGATTACTGCACATCACAGGCCACAAGTGTCATCCGGCAGGGAAGGCAGGAGTGCAGGGCTGCAGGCCCTGTCCCAGGTCTGTGATGTTTGGGTATCACAGGTCTAAGTGGTCACAGGATCCCCGGGTCCTTGGATCCATGCAAGAGAAACTCTGGCTGACCCTTGGGTCAATGGAGGAGCTGCTTCCCACAGAGCCATTTCTGGTGGGGCTATCCTTGGGGATGTGGGAAACCCAAGATGCAGCCTGTGCATCTTTCTTAAAAGTACGAGAAGTGGCTGGGTGTGGTGTAGCATTTATAATCCCAGCACTCAGGAGACTGAGGCAGGAGGATCATGAGTTTGAGGCCAGCCTGTGCTACACAATGAAACCCTGTCTCAAACCAAAAAATAACAAACAAACAACAAAGCAGCAGTGATGGACATTGAGACCAGGGCAAGAAAGAAGTGTCCCAGGGTGGGAAGTCCCTCAGACCCCACTGACCTCCTCAGAGGCCATCAAGGGTCCTGGAGAGGACAAAGAACAAACAGACTCCACGCTCCTATGTTTTCATGGAGTGACCTCCCTGGGGGCACAGCAAGTCTTCCAGGGGGCCCAGGTGCCTGATTTGGGGTTCCTCTCTCAGCCAAGTCAACCTAAGGCTGAGGCCCCAATGCTGAGCCCTGGGTCTCCTCCTAGTCCCTCCCTGGTTCAGGGCTTGAGGGTCACAGTTGTGGGAGCCCACCTCCTCCAGCTCAGACAGTTAAAGGCTTACTGAGGCTCTGGCTGGTACCCTCTACTTGTGTGTTTCCACGTGGGAGTGTGTCTTCGGCTAAGGACAACTGAGGTTGACGTATGGTGGTCACATCTATTGGCCAGAAGGGGCAGCACTGCAGGCCCTTGTCACTGCCACAGACTGGCAATAATGTTTGGGCATTTGTCCCCACCCCCTGCCTCAGTTTCTCTGCCTGTGAAGGAAAAGGTCTCCAAGACCCTGTAGGTCCCATCCCTGATAACCCCTGGGGTCCTAAAACCACACAGAGTGGGAAAGTTTCAGGAGAGGAGGCTGCAAAGAGGAGGGGAGGGAAGGGGGCTTCTCTTCTTGGGAAGGTACAGGTGAGGGCAAGTGAAGTGCTGATCACTTTGTCCCACTGGCTGGGGGAGCCTCAGCTTCCCTGACCTGAGAATGGAGAGTGTGGGTCTCTTTTGGGGGATGGTGCTGGAGGGAAGGAACCAGGACACAGTTGTCTCCATTTCCCCATCAGCAACCACCACCTGCCTTGCCAAGAGGTCTCCTGAAACCACAGTCCCCACCCAGACACCTGGATAGATACCTCTCCCATGGAGGATCCTGGGAGGGCTCCCGGGAGACTGTGGAAGCAGGGAGCAAGCATTGGAGGGGTTGGAGCCCCATCCTAAGTGAGTGGGCACAGCTGGGCACTGCAGGGGCATCGTGGAGGTCAGGAATTAACCTCCTGACTGGGACTGAGGGAAAACCTGGTTGGAGCCAAGTTTCCAGCAGGACAGATGGCGGAGACCCCTTGCTACCCACTTCCTTCTCGCCCCCGCCCCGCCAGTGGGACTGAAAGACAACACAGAACAGGAGGTTTGCTTGGAAGCATTTATTTCTCTGTACCTGCACCTTATGCTGCTACAGGGCTCCAGGCTGTGGGTCAGGACTCATCCACGTGCTCACAGAATGCCACACGCTGTTAATGGGGAGCAGGTGCTGGGTGGAGGGGCCGGAGCTCTGCAGGCTGGTGAACAAGAGCAGCCCAGCTAACCTGCCTTCCCTGGGCCTCTGTGCCCAGGAGCGTGAAGTGAGTGAGTTCAAACATAGCCTGTGCGCTAGGCACTGAGCGTCTGAGCGTGCATGTGAGTGTGTGGGTGGAAAAGAGCAAGCAAGCTTGAGGTCGGATCCACTGAGCATGCCAGGTGGAACTCAAGGCTCATGACCAAGTCCATCCTTCTTTGTGGAGGCCAGCCCTGTGTCTGCAAGGGACAGGTCCTCACATCCTCACAGCAGGGCCCACAGGAGGCTGAGCATCAGCCCTGCTGCTAGGACTCCCAGGCCCCCCTCCTCCACTGCAGCCCCATTGCAAAAGTCTTTGTCACAGCAGCTCACATCCTCCATCTCCACCATTTGGGGGTTCAGGTAGTCCAAACCCTCCATAATGGTTCCAGAGCCAGCTGTCCCTGGAAGCTTCTGGACGGCCTCACAGGAAGGAGCACAGCCCTTGGAGGGTACTGTGATCTTGTTCCCTGTGGGAGGCAAGGGACTGGCCTGGCATTCCTAAAGTCCCTTCCCTCCCTTCTCAGCCCCACTGTTGCCTCCCCTGCTGCTGGCCCCAGACCCTCCTCCAGACTGAAGCTGGACCCAACCATACCCACCACCCTGCTTCTGGGTTGCCCCAGGGCAGATCCCTTTGAACCTGCTCTCGGTTCTTTCACAGACACCCCACACCCCCCATGTCCTGAGTGGTGTCCAGAACTCACTGTTACCTTGGGGCAAGTTTGTGGTCATCTTGGCACTAAAGCAGATGCTGTGGTGCGATGGACTAGGCATGCATTGGTCGTGGTTCTCTACGTCACTGCAGATGTAGCAAGTCAGGCCCAGGGCTGGGACCAGCGACACAGGAGGTGGGTTTAGACCCCCAGACAGAAAAATGGCCTGCAGGGATCAATGCCCTACACCTCCAGGTCCCTCTGCAGGAAGGACCTACCCACACTCTGGGTCTTGAGGGACTGACCCCTCAGAGATTCAGGCACAGGGCTCCCCAGGGATAGAGGACGCCTGGACCCTAGGACCAGCCCCTTCCAGATGCCCTTGTTCACTCACCATGCTCAGAGCCTAGCAAGGCCACCAGCAGGAAGAGACAGATGTTCCTCATGGCTCCTGGAGACTGCACAGGGGGAGGCAACTCTCACAGGCTCTTGCGGGGGTGCTGGGTTAAGTCTCCCTCCCACTCACCTCCAAAGCCTGGCCCTCAAGGCTGGCCTCCCACACAGCTGCCTGTCTCCCTCAGGGCTGACAGCTTCCTCCCTGTCCTACTCACTAGCTCCAAACTCCCCAGGCATCTGGAGCTACTTCCATGGCAGGCTTATGTACTTTCTGCAACCTGCCCTGCCCAGCCCTTCGGGCAGCAGGCTGGGCTCAGTTGCTGAACTACATCCCCTACATCTGGAGGATCAGTCGTTGGTCACTTCTCAGGAGGGGTGGTGGGGCAAAGGGACCTTGAGGAGCCCAATGCCTGCCTCTGGACTGCCTGCCCAAAGCCTCCTTTGCCATGGTGTGGTCAGGATCTCTTAGGCGTCAGCATAGCTTTTTCCTGTGGTTGGAAGGAATAACTTGCTGAACTCTAATATCCTTCCCTAAATACACACAAACAGCAAAGCCTGAAGCCTCCTTGTTCCTGTGTTTACCCTCTTCCTCAAGACAGCCCCTGTTCTCCCGTGCTACAGGTCGTCTCACTACCCATAACAGCCAGGTGCAGCCTGGCTACACCTCTGGGCCCTGGGGAGGCTCTCTGGCTTTCTTTCTGGACCCCTCCTTGCTGGACCCCTCCTAGTGCTGGCGCCTTGTCCAGGGTTTAATGCAGTCCCATAGGCTCCAACCCCAGAGGCTTCTCCATGACCATGAGGTCTGTTTGTCTGTCTTTCTGCCTGCCCGTGGGGAAGCTGTAAGTGTGGAATACAGTGTGGGAGTCAGTACTATGGCGGGAGGAGAACCAGGCTTGCTTGCAGAGGCAAGTCTGTTCCCAGGTCCCAGAGAGGTTCCTGTGTACAGCCAGGGGCAACCTGGGGGTGGTGACTGAACCGTGTGGAAGGGAGAGACAGAGACTTGGGGAGAGAGACAGACAGAAACAGAGAAACAAGAGAGCAGGGTGAGGGAAAGAGGTGGGGGTGAGCCTTTCCTGAGGTCCAGGGTAGAGCTGAGGTTAACACGACTATGGAATATCATGTGCAGCGTGAAATCGAAGCGAGCGAGTGGGAACCAGATCGAGTCCAGGGCTGAATGTGTCTGTGAGTCCAGCTGACTGGGGGTTTTAATTCAGGGCAGTGAGAAAGCTGGGTTCAAAGCAAAGAATGCTCAATGTACTACTTGCCTCTCCTGCCTCTGCCCCTGTCCTCTACCCTTTTCACATTTTTCTGGTGCTCCAGACTCTGGCCTGTGCCCAGTTGGCCTAGAGGCCAGGGAATAGGGAGGTCAGGACCCAGACAGTGAGATCAGAGAACACACGGTCCCCACTTTGCTCCCCCAGGGTCCTACATTCAAACTTGTCTCATTTTTTTCTGGCTGCCAGGAAGGAGCTCACAGGTCCTTCCTCTTCACTTTCATCCACCCACCCTATTTAGTCCTCTTGGGAAACCTGCAAGGTGGTCCCTCATATGTCCAAATCAGCCATGTGGAAAGGCCTCAGCTTCCAGGCCTCTTCCACTGTCCAGGGGGGTCCAGATGGTGGCAGCACCTAAGACCTTTCCATGAGTGGTGTAGAGAGGCTGGAGTGGGACCCTTTGCTCTGAGAGCTCTTCTGCCAGGCAGCTTTTGACACTTGTCCCCATGTCATGAGAATCAGCAGAGCTGCTGTAAGAACCAGGTCCCCTGGCCCAGACCCCAAATTTTGTCCATCTTTCACAGGCAGGGGGAAAAGGGGAGGCACTGCCGAACACAGGCTCACCCCTCAACCCTAGAGACCTGTGGTGTGGTCTGGAAGTCTTTTTGCCACCCCAACCACCTGCAAATGCTGTGCGAGGAAGTCTCAGTGGCTTCTTCCTCTGAGACCACAGAATCCGTGGTTTCCACAGCCTTTGCTCTGTGTAGTTATTATTATTTTTTTAAATGGGACTGGGGTTTGAACTTAGGGTTTCACACTCACAAAGCAGGTGGTTTACTGCTTGAGTCACACCTCCAGTCCATTTTGCTGTGATTAGTTTGGAGATGGGGGTCTGATGGATTATTAGTCTGGTCTGGCCTCGAACCTTGATCCTCCTGATCTCAGTCTCCCAAGTAGCTAGAATTACAGGTGTGAGTTACTGGAGTATGGCCTGTGGATTCACTCTTGAAGTTGTGTCAAGAGTACAACTGAAGTTGTGGCTAGGTGACAGGAAACAGCCAACCTCAAAGGACCTGCAGGTCGTACTGGTTCAGGGGAACACAGAGGCATACATTTAGATTTAAGGCTCGGGGTGTCCTGAGGCAGAGAGCTGAGGTTCAGTCCAATGGCAAGAGCACACCCAAGGTCAAGGACAAGAGGAGACCCATGGGTCAGGACTGCCACATTCATCTCTTAGGCCAGGGGAAAGATAAAGTCTAAGCCACCACTCGCCAAGTTGAAGAAAAAGAAAGTCTGGATGTCAAGGAGAAAACAAGGAGCTGTGGAATCCAAGACTAAGAGCCATGAGGAACATGGCACAACCGGTAACTTAGCCAAGGCCGGTGCCAAATGAGCTCAGTGCACAACCAGCCCAAGCAGATAGCTGGATTCTGCCTCTCCACGACAGGCTCCTGCAGGGCTCCTGCGCCTCTTGGTCCAATGAGCTGAAGATTCTCACTCCTTTTTGTTCCTGCCCAGTACCACCTGGACCTTCCCTCTTGTGCTTATCTTGAGCTCGGAACTGCCATTCTGAGTTCCTCAAGAGGAGAAAGTCTATTGGTTGGTTCAGACTAGAAAATGGCAAATGCTTGGTAAAGGAAAGTCAGTCTTCAATCGATCCTCTCTGGTCAGATTTTACGAATGTTGGAAATAAGCAAATGTGCAGAAGGTCCCATGTTATATAACAAGAGCCTGTCAATCAAACCTGTCAATGACCCCAGCCCCCCAGAGTTTTCCTGCCATTTACCACTACAACTTATAAATGACTCCTGGGCCAGCTACTGGAGGTTCAAGACCTGGCCACGGGGCATGGAGGCCACAGAGAGTTTGGTGGGTGTCTATGCCTGGTGCTCGCTCATATGAAGTGTGGAAGAACAGACTTCACCTGTGTGCACACGTGTGTGAGCAAGAGTGCACAGTGCATTCAGGATTCTAGGCTCTCTTCCTGGCCGAAGTCAATGCAGTTCTGACTTCTAGAGTGCCCCTTGCTTCCCCGACCCCAAGGTCTTGGGGGAAGTTCTCTGATTTAATGAGAAGGAGCTGAGCTGAAGGGTGGGGCTCAGGGCAGGGCCAGGCTGAGCTGGAGCCTCTGTGCTGAGGCCCCAATCTGCCATACCCACCCTTCAGAATGGTTTTATTGAAAATGTCAATAATTTGGTTATTTGGGCTTTGGGAATTTGGAATATTGACTTCTTTGAATCATTCCAGGGCTCCTCACACTTCTTGGAAAATCCCAGACGCTCTGAGGGAGGAGGAAGATGAAAATGGAGGAGATACCACCCACGCCCCTCTGCACACAGGCATCGCTTCACTGGCTGGTGTGTTCCACAGCCTAACCACAGGTCCTCTTTCAAACCCATGGGGCCCCTGAACTCTCTCTGCCCCCCTCAGGGGCTGCCCAGAAGAATTTACCAGCAGGCTCTCCAAAGAAGTTGTGTACAGTTGTATCATGATGACTAACTTGCCTGACACAGAGGTTGTATAACACACACTTTACAAATAATTCTTAAAATATGCTTTTTTATTGGTTGTTCATAATTTTAAAAGATTTTTATTATATCATTATTGTACTGGAGGTACATTGTGACATTTACAAAAGTGCTTACAATATGTCATAGTTAAATTCATCCCTTCTACCATTCTCCTTTACCCATCCCCCTTCTTAGAATAGTTTCAGCAGGTCTCATTTTTCCATTTTCATACATGAGTACATAATATTCCACCATATTCACCCTCCTACACCCCTTCCCTATTTCCTCACACCTCCCATTGCTACTAACCCCCAGACAGGGACTGTTTTACCTTCCTGCCCTTCATTTTTGAAAAAGGTATTTCTTTTTGTTTAAGATAGCTATTCAGGGAGTTTCCTTGTGACATTTCAATGTATATGTGTATTATATCCTAACTTAGTTCATCCCTCTATTTTTCTCCTTTCTACTTTAGTCCCTCTCTTAGGGTGATTTCAACAGGTTTAAATATTCTATATTCATTCTTGTATAGAAAGTACATCAAGCCAGGCACTGGTGGTCACAACTTTAATCCTAGCTACTCAGGAGGCTGAGATCAGGAAGATCACAGTTCGAAGACAGCGGGAGAAAATAGTTTGCAAGACACTATTTTGAAAAGACCCAAAAAAGGCTGGTGGAGTAGCTCAAGGTGAAGGCCCTGAGTTCAAGCCCCAGTACTGCAAAAAAAAATAAATAAATAAAAGTAAAGAAAGAAAGTACATCAACCACATTCACCTTTACTTTCTTCTTTTACCCCTCCCCCGATTAGTGTCCTTTAACACAACCTGTGACTTGTTTTTCATTGTTCCTAGTTCCGTGGGATTTTTGCTTTTGTATTATACCTGTACATGGATTGTTTAAGTCAATGTAAACCTCCTCCATTGCACTTCCTCACCTCACTTTCCCCATCCTGTGTGTTTCATTGTAAAATGCACCCTTTTTTTTCTGTACTGGATTTGAACTCAGGTCCTTCACCTTGAGCCACTCCAGCAGCCCTTTTTTGTAAAGGTTTTTTTCATAGGGTCTCACAAACCATTTGCCCTGGCTGGCTTCGAACCATGATCCTCCTGATCTCTGCCTCCTGAGTAGCTGGATCACAGACGTGGCCATTGTAAAAATACACTTTTAACTGTACATTCCAAATGACCAAGTGATTCTCACAGAACACTTTCATTTTGGCTGGACTCTTGTATCTGTATCCAACTGGTGGCTGCACAATTTGACAAGATCAGACTTGTAAGTGTGTGTTCTGTTGTAACCAGGACTACAAAAGGGAAAAAACTTTTGGTG